CCCCCCTGTGTTAAAACGCTAAATCAGCTGAATCCGTCGCAGTCACCAGTTAAAAGTTTTAAGGGTGGTCTTATTGACTTCGGCCTGGATCCTGAGCGGTGTTTCCAGTTTGATTCTATTTATTTGCCAAATTGGTCCACATTGGCTTTCCGAACATAATTTTTGTCAGCTTCTCTGAAACTTTATCACAGAGGTATTTTTAGACATGAAATAAGATTACACCCAGAAAAATATGTCATTCTTAACCAAGGGGCTATTTCGTCAAAATAAATTCAATAAATAATCTGTAACTGCCATTTTCTAATAGGAGATCTACATTTTATTTTAGCTGGATAACAACAAGTTGTGACCAGCGGAAGTAGTCGGAAGTCGGAAGCAGTAGGTTGAAGATATGGCGGGTGAGTTCAGTGGGTTTTGTACTGTTTTTTTTCTGTTTTCACCAATAACTCCCTTGTCGAAAAAATGATCTTTCCCACCAGAAAGAAAATATCAAGTGTTATGACAATGGTTGATGGTCTTTTAGGTTTATTCTTCAAGCCGGAATGTAAATGACCTGCTTGTTCGTTGATCTGTCTGGGCAAGCTGAGTCCAGTCCAGTGACAACAACAACCGCAACGGTAGATCTAATATAGCAGACAACACAAATAATTCGGACCAGTTTGGCGGGGGCGGGGGGTGGGGTGGGGTGTAATTAATCAGATTATTCTTTCTGGCTTTCATGTAGATCCCCGCTGTCCGAGGTCCGGTTAGTGCCAGTATCAGTCCGGCTTTTCTAGATTCTAGCTCAGCGCACTTGTACTTGTACTGAGCATCCGTGGGATGTGGGATGACACACGATGAAATGTGCGTCAGTCTGCTAGAGTGAAGTTGAGTTTGTAGTTTGGTTTGTGGCCTAGATCTAGATTTAGATCTACTTGTAGAACCGTCTGCGTTGGTTCAGAACCGAGGCGTAGCCTACATCGTACGTCTCCTTCAAAACACGTCAAATGAATGGTCCAGTTCTAGATTCTAGAACTAGAGAGTCTAGTCTATGTGCCAGACCGCGGCAGTTAATGAGGTGAAGTGGCTGTGCCTCTTATGCATAAAGAAACTATGAATAGGCGTGTGTGGTCACATGACTGACCCATTTCTTCTCATTTTGGATGCTATTGCAGTGATCTCCTTTGATTTGTGTACTGGGAGCAAGTCGAATCGCAATGCCTCTCGATTGCCCGCAGCGTGGCAAGGTGCCGTGACTGCATCATTTTTATTATGGAGCGCGGCAACTATGCCCTTGCAGCGTCATTTTGCCTGCCTGGTGCACGGCATTCCATGCTGTGGTTCTTTGATAATACAGAGAGAAATTTGCATTACTTGCATACACTACTTTACTTGTTTTTCATTGTTTTCATTCTTGATTTGTTCATGCATTCAGAATGACCACTCATATAGAAATGTAATGAAAACATTTATTCTTCAAAAAGCAAAATACAAAATAAGAAAGGTAGTAAAAGGTCTCTTACCCTCTCTCTCCTCCCCCCCCCCTCTTTCTCTCTCTCTGTCGTTCTCTTTCTCTTTCTCTCTCTGTATGTCTGTGAGTGTCTGTGTGTATGTGTGTGTGTTCGTTCTCTTTCTCTTTCTCTCCCACACACACACACACACACACACATTTACATACACATGCACGCATTCAAATGAATACTGCAACACCAATAAAAAAACTGGTAAATGGTGACTGGTTTTCAATAAAGCATCAATGTTCTTCTAGGCATATTTTTCTCTCTGTCTGTCTGTCTCTCTCTCTCTATCTTTCTCTCTCTCTCTCTCTCTCTCTCTCTCTCTCTCTCTCTCTCTCTCTCTCTCTTTCTCTCTCTCTCTCTCTCTCTCTCTCTCTCTCTCTCGCTCTTTCTCTTTCTCTCTCTCTCACGCACACACATACATACACATTTACAAACACATTGCACGCATTCATTTTGAATGCAACACCAAAAAACTGACAAGACAAGGTAACAGGTTTACAATAAAACATCAGTGTTTAAAGGCATACTTCTCTCTCTTTCTCTCTCTCTCTCTCTCTCTCACACACACACACACACACACACACACACACACATACATGATACCACACACATGCACATGTACACCCTCCTCCCCCCCCCCCCCCCCCACAAACACACACACTCAAACGAATACAGCAACATCAGTAAACTGACTTAAAACAATGTAGTGCACTTCTCTCCCCCTCACTCTCTTGACCCCCTGAACCCAGTACTGCGACGCTACAGCTGCACTGCGGTAAAACATACGAAGACTCAGATTCAACTCAATTGAAGGTTGGGCTCTCCAACTCATCCAAATTCCACTGTGTTATATTTTTCTGAAAGTGTTTCCTGCTCCCTGCTTTCAAAAATGTATGATATTTCAAAACCATACTTTTTTTTTCCTCAGAATTAAGTGTTGCCAAGAATGAGCTGGAGGAGTTCAAATGCTCTGCCAATGATGCCATTGAATTTAAATTAGGTACAGTGTGTGGCTGACTTGTGTAACCGGTGCATGTTTGATGATTTTTTGTACTGCACAGTATCAAATATCAAAGTTACAATGTGTATGATAGCTCTTGTAAGCTTCTTTTCGTATAAAATTGTCTTTCCTTTTTTTCCCTTTTTTTTCAGTTCATTAAGTTTGGTAAGTTTAGTTACTGTAGATGAGTCACTGTTTAAACAGTGTCAACTTTTGATCATTTCGCTTTGTCAGATGTTTATTGCTTTAGAAGAAAGATTCGGCCATTGGAACTTTCAATTGTCACAGAAGTCTGCTTTGGTCAGAAATTCTCTGTTGAATCTTTCTGCTCGCCATCGACTTCTTTTTAAAAAAATTATCTGTAATCCTTAGAGTAATGTAAGCTTATTAATTCTTCTGCATTTGGCAAATTTCATAAAGATTTTCACTCGATTAGTTCCTTCTTTCTTTTTTAGTTTGAAGATGTAGTCATGTTACGAATGTCTAAATTGTATCGTTTAGTGGATAGTAACTGAAAGCTCACACTTGGATTTTCTATTTGAAAACATTTTAGCCACTGTCTTATTATCTTGGAAAAGATAAAAGTTCAAGTTTTAATGACATGATTATGATATAATGTAAATGCTAAAAATGTTTTCCTTGTGGTATCATCAAAGCAGCTGCAAGTTTTAGGTGTAACAAAATGTTATTTTCTAATGTGAAGTTGTTACTTCAGTAGCCTTGAGTATGTGCCCTTGTCCTTGGGCCCTAAGCCATATATGGAAAAAGGTGAATGTCTTTAAAAGCCGTTCTTTTTACAGGACATGGTGTTGTTTATGGTAGAAGCCAGAGGAAGAATTTTTTAAACATGTGTTAAGAGTAGTATGTGAAGCCCAGGAAGAACCTACTCTCTATTATTCTTTGTTAGTTGACTGATCATTATCTTTCTCAACTAATTCTTGTGTCATTTTGTCGGTTTACCAGTTGCCTCGCTCAACTCATTCTTGTCATTTTCCATTTCAGTCAGGAACGTGCAGGACATTGATGATGAAGAAAAAGCTTTTCCCCCTGACATGACCCATCAGGTCTTTGGAGATTCGTAAGTCTTGTCATTTACCAACCAACTACTTACATGAGCCATTGCCAAAACTTGGGGAAAAACACACACATCTCACATTAGTGTGCATAAAATGTGATGCATTAGTATTTATTCCTCCAAAACTCATACACATGTCAAATATAGGATGTAGAACCTGCATTAGCAGTTTCAGACCCCATGTCAGCTTTACCATCTTGAGTTTGTAAATTTTGTGCCAAAAATGTTTGTTTTTTTTAGTGATTCCTGGACTGTCATTTTGAGCACACCAATGCAAACTTCCAAGAATGTCCCAAATTTAGTATTTCTGGGTGTTTTTTTTTAACCTGTGCTTTGATCCTATGTTATTTGTTATCGAGAAAGGTTAATTTGCTCAAGAAATCGGTTTATTTGTTTGCAAATAAACGAACAATTCGGATCACTTGTGCGTCAGTCGTGTCGTCACAGACTAGGTGTTTCAGAAAACACCATTATTTTTCAGTAGAATCACCGTAGCTGTTTAAATCTTTTTGCTTTTCGTCGTCAAAAGCCGCAATGCGCGAAAGGAACATTGGGTTCCTAGATCTACGATTTCGGTCGGCTGTTTAACATTCGCCGTGATTGTTGTCACCTTGCGACGTTCCGGAAGTCCGAATTTCAGCCCACTTTTGTTTTGAACGGGTCATCAACAGTGCCCGGATATAAGTTTTCTCGAGTGACTTCCCCTTACCCGCTTCCCCAGAACAGTGGAAGCAACGGGGTAAAGAGAAAAACGAAAGTAGCGTCTCCCTCTCCCTCTCTCTCTCCCTCTCCCTCTCCCTCTCCCTTTTTAACTCCCAGTGAAGCATAGGCTGTCAACATTTCTCCAACGAAGCTTGTCCTGTGCATCCTTTTCTAGCTGTTTCCATGATGTCCCCGCCTTTTCCATTTCTGCATGCACCGCTCACCTCCATGTCATCTTTGGTCTTCCTTTCTTGAAATGATTCTTGCTTGGTATTTTTTATTTTTGAGAGGAATGATCTTTGATAGTTTTGTTTATTTTAGGTTTTATTTTTTAGAGAAATAGTCTTTGTTGGTTTTAATATTGTTTTTGGCTTTTATTTTCCAGAGAAATGATCTTTGGATACAGAGGTCTGAAGGTGTCCATATACTACACAGGAAGCAAACTTATCCCTTACCTGAGGATATCACACAGTGAAGTCTGTAACACTAAAGAGCATGGGGTTTCAGTAAGTATTTGTCATGTGACTAGACGCACTGAACATAAGTCTATTGAAGAAAGTGACGTCCGTACTACCAGACCCGTAACCGTGAGATTGCTGGTTCGGGGGTTTGAGCCTGAACTCGGTCTGACATTGTGTCATGCTTTGACTGCAGTGGTTTCCTGAAAATTTGTCAACACAAAAAAATAAAAATAAAAACTATGATTTGAATGGTGATAGCAGTCAGTCAACCCACAGTTACATTTATATCACAGTCGAACTTGTGTAAGACGGCCATGCATTGTTGAGGGGGAAAGTGGCCATATAAGACTGGTGGCCGTCATGCAGGACTGATGAAAATGAAGAAAGCAAACCATTTACTTCTAACGTCCCAACTGGAGGTGGTCATAGGCTTAGGACTGCCCTAAGGCTGACTGCAATTTGTTGTTGTTATTTTATTTCTTTTGGAAGGAGGGAGATGATAGGACGATTTTGTGGGACTTTTTGTTGTTAGTTTTGTTATATTTTTCAAAATTATAGTTCCAGGAAAGGTCAAAACAAAACTAAATGTTGCTGACGAGGAAGGCCAAGTGTCATAGAAAAACAAACGAACGGGTCGCCACCAATAGGCAAACGAGCGACACTTCTGTCGAGAGTTTGTGTTGACTTCCATTGTTATAGAATGGGTTTACGGTAGGGATGGGCAGGCACCGGTACCCGGTACCGGAACTCCCAGTTCTACTGAAGGGGGTGTCAGTACTGGCACTAGGCCTCCAGTACCGGCTCTGGGAAGAAGCCGACACCGTTGGTTTTTTTTACCAGTGGAAATGTGTAGGCCTAGCACCTAGCAGCTGTGACGCCAGATGCACAACGCAGCGGGTGACCTTGATACAGGACTTCAGATTCAAAATTGACAATCGAAACCGAAGTTTGCTTAAATTTAAATACGGCATCAGATCAGGTTCCACGCGAGCCACTTTGCTTATTTTGATACGCTGATTCCGAAAATGAAATCAATTTTTAGCAACGATGATTATTTTAAAAGTTCTGCATGCAAAGTTTAATCCCGCGTGGCGGCAAGCTTCAAAGGTATTTTGCGTCACAGTTCGCCTCTCCAATTCTGACTGGTGTGTGTGTTGTGTATGTATGTGTGTGAGGGGGATGCGGGCGGCGCCGATCGTGGCGTTAGGTGCAAGACACGAAGTCTGTGACGTCACCTCCTGGTGTCATTCCCAGTACTGGTGCCAGTACTGGTGGTTCTCGGCACTTGGTACCGAGAAAGTACTGACACTGGATTTCGCCGGTACCGCCCAGTACTAGTTTACGGACTGAGTTGTGGGCGGGCCTTATAGATTATGACAGGACACAAGCTTCCCTTACCAGCAGCTGAAAATTTATTGTTACCCATTGGTCAACATTGGGAGCAACGTAAGCAACATGACCGTTTCCTCCATTGGAGGCACTGACAAAAACGACAGGTGAATGAATTATGTTGGTTTGTCCACAGCGTCAGGGGAAAAAGCACAATTTTTGTTAAAGCCTTGCCGTCTCAGGCAGGTAGATTTGGACAAGATTTGATTTTTTAAAAAGGTGTCCGCTGCCACGTTGGACAGGTGCCCTTTTTACATATTATATTATACAGACCTGCCACTCATCCCGATTTAATCGGGATATCCTGATTTTTTGCCCCAAATCTCAAGCATCCCGATTTTCTCGATTTCGATCGCCAGTATCATAATTTTTTTTGTTTTGTTGCGTCTGTTGCGTCCGACTCTTGGAAAAAAATAATAAAACGTTCTGCAATCTCTTTTGCTTGGAAGCACCGATTGGACTTTTTATCCGTAGGAACTCGGAACTCTATTTTCTAAAGCATCTATGCTGAATCTTGTAGATGACTCACGCACGTTATTTCAACTAAAATCGGTGTCGTATCTATTTTGAATTCCGACTTAGATACACTCAAGATCTGCTTTCGCTTTTATAACCCAATATTCTCCGATAGTGTTCTGATTACTGTAACAATTTATGAACAATTATGACATAGGCCTAAGAATAATCTATTCATTGTTCTGCCGTTGCTTTAAAAGCAAGCTTCGTCCGAATTCTGGTTAGTCGGGCCCATCACTAAGACCTGTCAGTCGAACTTTCAAACACTCATTCGCATCACGTGACATGACCTCGTACATGTGAGTAGCACGTGTGTCGAGGACCGTCAGCTGTCGGGGTCAACAAAGTTCACTCACACCGGTCGCATTGGTCAAGGCGTTTTTCGGGACTTAACCAGTGTGTGTGACCGGGGGGTGGGGAGGGGTGTACTTTTTTTTACACTTGGGCTTAAAGTGCGTGCCGTGATACAGGTACTAATTGAGGGGAAAGGAATAAGAAGAAAAAAGATCAACCTTGGCGCGATCTTTTTTGGAGGGTGGGTGCCTTGAGTGTGTATATATATGCGATGGAAGTCAAACCTTGTTACTGTATGAAAACGCTGGCTTTTTGCATGGATGATTAGAGTTATGTATCAGCTATTTTCAAGACTACGAGAGTTTCAGCTTTACTGCAACCTGCGCTCCCCCAGTCTATCCAACTCCGACTCGGGTATATAGAGTATATATATATGCTGTATTTCAGTTTTCCCTCTATTTAGAGGCCCAAACGTGAACTTGTTCCCTCAAAAGTTTTGTCTTGCATACTTGCCTCATAAAGGGGAACCAGGAGACCCCCCCCCCCCCTCCTCAGTGCCCATGATGACTGATTTGCTGTTGGTTCCGATTTTTTTCACCAGATCCTGATTTTTTTAAACTCTAAAATCCTGATTTTTAGATTTCATAGAGTGGCAGGTCTGCTGTATTTATACAGAAAAAACGCTCGGGGGGAATTCGAAAGTGGCCTTTTGTACAGCTGGCCGTCATGGCTGGTTCGATTGTATTTATAGTGCATGCTGACTTCAGATTTTAATTTATTGTTCATAGATGAAGCACGCCACGGCAATGATTCTAAAACAAGGGTCTCAAACTCATTGCTAATTGTGGCTTGCAGAATAATATTCAACATCAAAGTTATGTGTCGGTGCAACCTGGATGTTTTTCTCGCATGCGAGGTGTACCCTTGGCTTTCGGGGGGTGGTTCAAAGACAGCTTCCTTTGGGTGTTGTTGACAAGCTTTAAGTTTTCATTTCAAAATTGTGCTTAAAAAAGAAAATACATGAAACCTTTTTTTTTTTTTCAATGTGGAATACTTGATGTGTCCCAGGTTCACCCAAACTCTCCCCCCACCAGACCCTGGGTAATTTAAGTTTGGGACACCTGTTAAAGAACCTCCAAAAAGTTGACCCATTTCTTCCAGTTGCACAGTTAAAGCATGACGCCATAAATATTTGTAAAGCGCATAGAGCCTGCTCTTGAGCGTGGATATGAGCTATATAAATGCAATTATTATTATTAAATATCATTTTTATGTGCTTAGTCTTAGGGCAGGCAACGTAATCTTTGTTTGGGACGGCAACCATCATCATTTTGTTTCTGCCCCCACCCCCCCTCCACAACCACCACCAATTTTCCTTCCAGCCGGATGACATTGAGAAGCTGCTTGCACAGGAACTTCCCCCAGGCTACCTCACCAACTTGGACACCTTCAAAGCTGCTCTCTCAGATGAGGCCACCTTCAAGCCGTTCGGGGAAAAAATAGATTCCTACACAGTCACCACAAGTGAGAGAATATGTCTTTCTTTCTGTCTTTCTTACGGTCTTTCTTTTTCAAGCCGTACAGGGAAAAAACAGATTCCTACCCAGCCACCACAAGGGACAGAATATGTCTTTCTTTCTTTCTTTCTTTCTTTCTTTCTTTCTTTCTTTCTTTCTTTCTTTCTTTTTCAAGCCATACAGGGAAAAAATAATTTCCTATAGTCACCACTAATAAGAGTATATCTTTCTTGCTTTCCTTCTTTTTTTAAACAGTTTATTGTTTAGTTAAGTGTGAGAATATGTCTTTCTTTCCTTTCAATTTTTTTTTTTGATGGGGAAGGGGGGGGATATTATTGTTTAGTCGTATTATATGAACATGCCTTTTGATTTTTGTTTCCTGTGTGTACTGTATGTGAAATTGGGGTTTGCTTGTTGGACTGCTTGAATTACCGGCGATTTAGTTACCCACCTTGGAATGAGTGTACTTTGTGTCTGTTCAACACTCCAGAAGTACCGTCCAACCTATATAATGGCCACCTGTTCAAGACGATCAACTCGCAGCAGTATTGCATACAGACGTAAGTCATTTTTGGCAACCTTTGAGATACGTCTGTATGCAATACTGCTCGCGAACTGAACAGACGAACACTTACAACCACTCCCTCCCTTACACACACACACACTCACGTTTTAAAAAAAATCAAAATGACACAATCCAAAACATCCACCTGTCTAAAAAAACAACCACTCTTCACTTCGACAGTGGGTGGGTGTCTTGGACAATTTTGACTATATATGATTACAGCTTGGGCGTCTCATGTTTCCACTTCAGAAAATGGAGAAGAGCGTCATTTTGACGTTTACTTTGCTAAAATGGAAAAGTCTGGCTTCCAAAAGTTCCACGAGCGAATTCAGTCGTTCATCAAGTTCTACATCGACGCTGCTTCGTACATCGACGTGGACGACCCCCAGTGGCAGTATTATTTCCTGTAAGGTTCAGTAATGTCATTGTAAGAGGCTGAGAAATCTTACACCTGTTTCTGTCTGTGACTGTGGGTGGTTGGCATATGCTCTCGTGTATAGTTTGCTCCTTTCCTATCAAACGTCTGTTGTCATCATCTCTCCTCCTGTTCCAGGAGCGTTACTCTCCAGTAGCACACCTAATCTTCAGTATTTATAAGGATTGGTGTTGCAAATGCAGTAAAACATTATAGTTAAATCTACTACCTTTCTGGGGTAACAATGATCAAATATTTTAGCGGCTTTTGATAAATACAGGCCTAAACTTCATTAAAAAAGCGAGGGATAGAAAGGGCAATTTTCTTCTTTTTTTTTATGTGGGGGCCCGTGAACATTTATTTAAGCCCCAAAATGTTTTTATAAAGACCTACTTTTCAAAGTACTCCGTATTTTTCACATGAAAGGGAAAGCTTCGACTCAAAAGATACCAGATCAGATTTTTTTTTACGCAGTCAAAAAGTGGTACCTTTTTAATGACCACCAGTATTTTGACACATAGCTGCAAACCTGTTCGTAAAAAACATATTTAGTATGTTTTTGTGTCAGAAAACATGTATTCTCTGTTTCCTAATATTGCTTCTCAGTGACTTGTCAATGATGAAGAAAACTTTTGAACTGTTAAACTAGGATTTAAAATAATTATGAGAATGCCGCACATAAGTCACTTGGAGAGACCTTTACTAAACATTTCTAACATTATTGTTGCTGTTCTGCTTGAAACAATGAATCTATTGCATGCAGAAGAGTGCCTATATGTGAAGGGATTGGAGGTGGGTTGCTTGTCTTATGCCCACCATCTTGACCTAGAGTAGAGTCTGTTTTTGTTTTGAAAAGTTGGCAGCTATGATGACGTCTCCCCGCAGGTTTGAAAGATACAAAGAAGACGGAGAGACCAGATTGGCAGCAGCTGGCTACATGACTGTGTACAATTTCTACGCTTACCCCACACACATTCGGCCACGTATGAGGTGAGATGACATGTATGTGTCTGTGTGTGTAAATCTTATGTTTTTACCGTTTTTTTCTCCTAGGTTTGCATGTGGTAAAATGCTGCATTAAGATAATGATAAAGACAGGGGAGTACCTTGGTCACTATACACCGGGTGCTGGTCCCGGCCCAGAGACCTCGGGAATGCCCCGCGAATTAGAATAAAATTGTCGAGACCGGGTAATGCCATGAAAATTTAAGGAAATCATCAGATTAACTCTTGAAAATAAGATTTGTTATCCAAACACTGAAAACCCCAGCTGATAAGGTGAGTAAGTTCACTTTATGCTAGTTTCGTTTGTAATTTTTTTCAATTTCTTCTTTCCGCAAGTACGTTTTGCAGTGAACAAGCCAGAATGACGGAAGTGAGATGTCATATTAAGGCTGTGCAGTCTCGAACTGGAAAATCTAGATCTGCTTTTGCATTACCTTCCAGCATGCTACAATGGTGGCCTGAAGATAACTGTCAAAATTATGACAGGCAGATGATCAATATTTGTCATTCTATTGTGGCTTTAAAAGCGAGCTTCTTCCAAGTCCTAGTTTGTTGGGCCTGTCATCAAGACCGGTCAGCAAAACTGGATCAAGCAAGTGTTCGCAATATGCTATGTAGAATCACACTCAGCCCTAGTTGACCCTAACAGCCAGGGCCGAAGAAGCCTGCCTCTAAGATAGTTTCAGTTGTGTGGATAGGGGCGTAATATACAATTACAATTTTTGTTCCTTCAGCCAAGTTCTGGTACTCACCCCCTTCCAAAGACTGGGGCTTGGGGCCAAGTTGGTCCAGACATTCTACAACACGTGCTATTCAAGGTCAGATGTGTTAGACATTACAGGTAAGATATCAGTGGTAACAATTGCAAACCGTGCAAATTTGAAATCAGGTGAAGTTTTATTGTTTGAAAAAATCGCTTGGAAACCCTTTTGCATCAGTTTGTTAAAGCACAGATTAATAGAGAGAAAAAAATTTTAAGCAACATTAATGTCAAAAGTGTATAGTCTGGTGTGCATGGCGAACATGCAGATAGCGAAGCACGCACATAACGAAAAGATTTTCAGGTTCCCAGATTTTTTTGTTAGACGTGTATATCTTTGTATATATAAAACATGTACATAATGAAATTCATACATAACGAAAAGATTTCTGCATCCCACCAACTTGGCTATGTGCTTGCTGGACTGTATATGTTTTCTGGTGCACTTGACAGTGACTCACTGTTTTCTTCGAAAATGGTAATTTAGGACTTGTGCACTGGGTGACTGATATCGTTGCTATGGAAGTGACTAGGTGATCCAGTGGGACTTCTTAGTGTCTAGCATGCTGCCCTTTTTTATCTTTAACATTTTAAATCTGTGGTTAATTTAGGTCATATGGTATTGGTCGAATGAAAGATGATTGTACCAGTGTTCATGCTGTTCTTTTTGTGCTAGCAAAACCACAGGTTGATACCTGATCGTTTGTCTACTGCAAGGTTTTGTGCCATGTAGGGCAGGCGCAGTTCATCTGTAGAGAAAGGTCGTGCAGTGCCACCCAAACTTTTAAAAATGTTCCTATACGTAAAGCACCCACAAACCGAAAATAAAAGAAGCCTTCTAAAAGCATTAGCCACATCTTTAATCAATACAACGTCCTCGCTTACGCTTTAACCGCCATTACTGTGTCTATAGCACTGTAAAATGTCTAGATCTACTGTACTATGCCAAAGTCCACACGCTTTAACTAAATATATAAGACGTTCAGCAGGGTAATCTGACCTGTAAATCGCTCTTTGGGCGAACCAAAGTGATGACGACACTCATAGTGAGTTTGTCGTTACATTAATATTAATAATTTGCATATTTCAAATGTGCCCTTGCCGAAACATAGCCCACAGTTTGCAGTTTAAAAATAAACGCGATCTATAATGTGCCCATAATAGGTGAGCCTCGGAGCGATCAGCTAAAGTTCTCAAGTGAATTATGATTGGTTTATTGTCTTACTTTAAAAAAATTTTTTTTTTTTTTGGGTCCCTTGCCCATTTCTAGGATACTGACGCCATCTGATTAGTAGAAAAATGTGCGTATGAGAGTGCCCAATAATGTATAACGTACAAATTGGTTTATTGTCTTACTATTACTTTTGAATTTAGGTCTTGCCCTAACTCTGTGACCCTGAGAATGTATTTCCCAAGATGAGTAAGTGGATTTAGAATAATAATATTACATAGACAAATAATCGTAAAATTGAAGGAAATATGAACGTGGCATAGTTAGTAAGATCACCGTCTATTGAGTTGTGCCTTTGAATAGTGTGTATTGAAGTGGTGAGAGTGTTATTTACCTGAGTGTTTAGTTCCAATACAGGATAAACTTAATTGATTTTTAGCTAATAAATTTATGTAGACTCTAGTTTTAGAAATCAAGGCAACAAGCAAAAAGAATGAAAGTTAAAACATTAGGTCCTCACCAACCCAAAGATATTAAAATTATACACCATCCCGTTTACTATGCCCTTGACTATCTTCAACCTGCAATAGCTTAATTGTGCACACCCACTTTTTAGCCCAGCGAGCCGCCCCTGATGTAGGGGCAAAGTCAAAGAGGGAGCAGAATTTTAAAAGTTTGTATGATCTGAAAAACCATAAAAATATACCTCCTGGATGTTTCTGGAAACTCACGCTGTCTGGTACAAAAAAAGTATGTTTGCTTTTCTAAAAAGTCATGTCGTTATGGTATTATATTTAGGCTTGGGAATGGACCATGTTGCGTTTTGTATGCAGTGGTTGGGAGTGCCACTGTTAAATCCTATTTCTTTTCTTTCTTTTTTTCCTCTGTTGTTGCTGTCTGTCTTACGTTTCCCCTGCAGGAAACAGCCATTATTTTGTGGATGTAATTCCTATTCTTGGCAATCGTTGTATGTGTTTAAAATTTTTAGAAATATGTGATTCTTGAATGGAAAAATTTAGGACCTGAAAATCTGTTTGCTGTGTGTGAGCCTGACTGTATGTTTTACAATAAAAATGTTTTTTCAGTGGAGGACCCTTCAGACAACTTCCAGCGTTTACGGGACTTTGTGGACGCTCAGAACTGCATGAAGCTCAAATATTTCCAGCTCAGCGAGCTGAAGAAAGGTTTCTCTCACGACATGTTGCATGAGGCTCAGACGAAGCTCAAACTCAGCAAGGTCAGTCTCTTTATTGGTGCTTTCTTTGGGACAAAAGAAGTAAAGTACATTGTAACACACACCACATACACATTCACTCACAGTCACGCACACACATACACGCGCAGTCACGCACACAAGCACACACACACACTACACACCCCATATCTTCATGCATGATGACCACCACAGCCCATGGATTCCTGTTCCTTTAAAACATAGCACCAATCCCACTGTGACCCTCGCGGTGACCCCAGATTTTGTACCCGGTCAAGGATGTTTGAAATGGGATAGCCAGTTATACAGTCAAAATTAAAGAGATATCAGTCGGGGAATGGCAAATTGTACTAGCAATCCATGATTTCGAGTTTTCCGTGTTTGTGTTATCTGTGCCTGACTACTTTTACCCTTATATTTAGTTCCATTTGTCTTGTTTGCTAGTCCTAAGGAGTAAATGTTTACTCCAAAAAGTTATTCTGTTGGACCATGTGAGACACAGAGATTTCCTTTTCCACTGCTTGTACTGTCGACAATTACTGTTGGTATTGATATCAAAATTGTTGACATATGGTAGCCATTCGACTTAAAATTCTTCAGAGCTTAAACTCATATGGAATAGAGCGCGATATACTACAATACAGTGCACAAGAATAACATGAATAACACTGTCCAGCCAAACATAAATATTTAACTCAAGGTCATGTACTAAGGTCTCATTTCACAAAGTTGCCACTATAGTCAATGCTGATAACCAAAAAAAGTGAGAAGGAAAGAAAACTTTTGTCTTTAAAAAAATGTTATGCAAAGGATAAAAGATGACATTGATCGTCCAAGGTAGCAATAAGTCAGAAGGGCAGACATGTCATTGCTGGGTAGCACAGTGTGCAGAGCCTGTTGTTTCAGAAGATGGAGAATTTTTTGTTACCAGTTTTTTAAGTCACAAAGTCGACATTTTAGGTCTTTGGCTCTTGTGTAACTAATCTTTTAGTTTTAGACCATTTCATCAACATTTTAATGCTTTTTGTCTTTTGTAACCATTTTTTCTATTCATGAGGTCACCATTTTCTTCTTAACTTACAGGACCTGTAAGTTCTAGTCGTACTACCTTGTTAAGGTAGTGCCTGAAATGATTTTGTCAATCTTTTATTTTTGTACAGCTGCAGACTCGGAGAATGTACGAGATTCTGAGACTCAAGGCCACAGACCAAAGCAACAAAGAAGAGTTCAGAGAGTACAGGCTGGATGTGAAGCGGCGCTTGAATATCCCGTACATGGTAAGACAATGTCTTGGTTTACAGCGAGGGTATTGAAGGAAAATGCCACATATCTGCAAAATGCATAATTAAAAAAAAAAAATTGGGAGGTGGAGGGGTGGGATGACTTAATAACATTGACGACTAAATAAAATTGATTCTGACGAAATTGTGCCTCCCATTAAAGTTTTTTTCCCCATAAATACAAGCGCTGTGCCATGACTAAATAAAGGGCAATGTTATAATGAGTTATTTCCCTTCTTTCAAGAAACTTTGGTGAGATGGCCTTCTTGCTCATTGTGATGATCCTGCCCTGGGTGGGCGGGGAGGGACCCAGTGGGCAATAAGCCTTAGCTTGTAATCATGTGGGGAAGAAAGAGAGATTGTCCCTGATCAGCTGCTGAGTGGGTGCCACGTGTAATGCCTACACCTGATGGCATTTGCTGGAGTGTGTTGTAGGACAAAATCTACTTTAGTTTTGTTAAGGCAAGGACTTCAACACGCATGGTCAGCAGATGATGGTTTAACACATTACACCCTAACTCACCCGGGATCGCCCGGGAATTCCCTTACGCGCTCCACCCTGACTCGCCCGGAACCGCCCGCGCCGACCCAGCGTCTTTAGAAACGAAAGTCTCGCCTTGACGAGACTCTGGGGCCGGGATTTTGATTTGCACAGTATAGCAAAAAGTTTATTCTTCCGTTTGATACCGAAACGAAATTTTTCGGGCCAGTAGTTTTAGTATTAGAGCTGATCGAAGTGCGATCGCGTTACCGACACTTTGAAAGTGCCTCGACTTGTTGAAAAGCGACACAATTGAGTTCGAAAACAGAAATAACGATGGATTTGAACAAAAACGAGCATGTGACAAATCAGATGGCTCAGATTTTGATGAAAACGTTGTAGGAAGAGTTTGGGGCGATTCCGATTGATCAGACGGAGAAATTATAGAATTTAGACCTAGGGCCCGACCGCGAGGCTGAGAGTGAGAGTGATGGGTCGGACACCCTGATTGAACTAAAAGTTAGAACATTTCCAACAGTTTGTGCATACATAAAGTTATATTTTTCTGAAACTACATTCAGTTTTCTTTCTAACTTTTATTTTTTCAGGATTTTTGGAATTTGTTTAGTATTTTTAAAATGTGTTTTTTAAAGGCTAGTATTCACGGGAGGTGGGTTCTTTCCCCTTGCTTAGGATCTGACAATGGACTTCCCATCCAGGCCCCTAGGGTGTAATGTGTTAAAGGGGCAAATTGTATGTCTGTATAGACGTTAATTTTCATTTATTCGCAAAATCTGGCTGTAAGGTAGGTTGATGGGTTAACAGGCTTTGACTGTATTACAGTTCGTATTTTTCAGGGAAAAATAAAGTTTGAAGTGTTACAGTTGTGAGTGGGTGGGGTTGTGAAAATAGTGTCTGAAGTGTACAAAGTAATGGTTGTGCATGTTCCCTGCCTCCTCAGAAAACCAAACGGATGTTTTTGAAACTGGAAAATTGCCTGAACCCTGAGGAGATAGCCCAGACGTTGGGACTGGTGACCAAGGAGCAAAAGTTTCTGACACTGGAGAACGATTTTCAAACTGCTTTGGCTGCCTACAGACGGGTTTTGGAGCGCCTTGCCAGCTCTTAAGAAGATGAAGGCAGAAGTGAACATGAGGGAATTGGGTATTTTTGGAAGGTTGAGAGCAATTACAGCATAGTCCACCTTTGATGAACTCGCTCTGGCGACTGTTTTCATTTTGGCCAACAAGAATGTTGGTTCTGTTGGCTTGATATTGGGTGAGGTATAAATGGCCATGATAGTGTAGGTTTACTTTTAGAGCATCTGAGCCGAGATATGACTGGCTTAACCGTGATAGCAGATGTCTCAGATCTGGCGCATTGTGATGATCATGAAACTTTACATAGAGTGTGATCCTGATTAATCCGGAAATCTGGATTCTGACATTGTCCGCATTTTGGCAGACTTCAGGCCAACTGTATAAAAATACTCTTGTCACAAGATGTATCCGCAAATTTTGAGTCCATTCAGGTGCATTTCCTCAAGGTCGGAAACCTTTTTTTTTTTGTGGTTAAATTTTCTGAAACAGCGAGTTAATAATAGAAAGGAATTCTAACCCCCCCCCCCCCCCCCCCGTTAGTAGGCTATACCAAAACCAAAAGAAAGTGGACTCCTGCTGTGAAGGATGAAAGTTCTCAGTTTGGTATATGTGTCCGGTTTGCTTGGGAATGTATTTACTTGTATAATGACAGTTTGCATAAAGTATGAGACAATGTGTGTGTGAACATTGATAAGTATGAATGTTTTTTGGGAATGTCCATCATTTGTTTTGTTTCCATATTTAATTTATTTTTTGTGCAAAGTAGGGAGTAGGCTTTGTTTGTTGGTTTTTGGTGTTTTTTTCGGGGGGGGTGGGGGGGGGGGGGGGTTGACTGATTGTAGTGTTCAATTATGTACAGAAACAAGTGATGAAAATGAAGTTCAAGGTTTACTGTTAGTTGTGATTTATAATTGAAGATTTGTAGAGATCTCATTCATTTCTTTTCTTGAGTGCTTGTTCTTCAGTTTGCTGTTCAAACATGTGTATGGATAACCCTCTCTCTGTGAGTAATCGGTTAAAATTGCATTTCAGATGATAACTTCAATCCAGACTATTGTTTGTGAAATTTGTTATTTCAGTAAAGATGCACTAATTTGATCGTTGTTTGGCAAGTGTCGTATGACTCTAACGTAAACTAAACTAATTTAACGTGATTAGGAAAGTTTATCCCCAAATTTACACTCCGACAAAAATGGAAATGGGCTAGCCACATCAGCAGAGTGAACGACAACAGATGGACAAAAATGTACTGAATGAAAACCAAGAACTGGACAAAGATCAAGAGGAAGACTAGAAAGGAGATGGCATGGCGACATAAGAGAGCAGATGGGTACAATCTAGCCCCTAAAAAAAGTGGAGGTCGTTATTATATATATATATATATACAGTGGAAACCTGATATAACAGGGATGATGGGAGTAGAGAAAATGTCCTGTTATATCCGATCCCTGTTAAATCAGAAATGCAAAGGAAAGTAAGCATTTGTGGACTAATCCAGCTGTACTTACTCATGGGTAGTTTCCCTAGCCACAAGTACCCACGAACAGGGGTTTTGGCACCGACTTTCTCCTTGCCTCCTTAAACCACATCAGAAGAGCTTGGTCCACGGCATCTGCATCGGGTAGTCTCATCTTCTTTCGATCCAGAGCAAACTTTTCATTGGAGTATGCTGCCACTATCTCCTCTCTGTCCTTGATAATGGTGTGAATCGACCCTTGTGGAATGTCGAACTGACGACAAATCTCTGCCAGTGCCAGTGGAGCTTGCTTTTTGTCAACAGTCTGGATTATTTCGTATTTTTGTCAATTGAAAGGCATTTTCTCTAGCGCTTGACATCGTTGGTGACACATTATGCGTGCGTGTTGCTAGGTTTCTGGCTAGATCGAGGTCTGCAGCACGTCGCAGCCCTCTCTCGCTTCACACACTGCGTGTGCTTGCAGTGGCATGGCTTGCGTGGGCTTGCACCATCACTGCGTTACTCTCTCTCTCTCTCTCTCTCTCTCTTTCTCTCTCTCTCTCTCTCTCTCTCTCTCTCTCTCTCTCTCTCTCTCTCTCTCTCCGGGCCTGTTATATATGGTATATATATATATATACAGTCAAACCTGTGTAAGACGGCCACCCATTGTCAAGGAGAAAAGTGGCCGTATAAGACAGGTGGCCGTCTTAGGCAGGACTGATCAAGATGAAGAAAACAAACTATTCCCATCTGAAGTCCCAATCGAAAGTAGCTGCATTGTTGTTGTTTTTATTGTTGTTGGTTTGTATTTTGTTTGTTATTTTTATTTTTTTGCTGATTTTGCGCAAGGGTGACAATAAAACGAAATGTATCGGACGAGGAAGACCGAGTGCAATGTTAAAACAAACACGTGGGTCGTCACCACTCGGAGAATGAGTGACGCTTCTGTCACAAGTTCATGTTGACGTCCTCTGTTACTTTGTTACAGACTGGGTAAACAGTGAACACTCATCTCACTTACGATTTGAGAAATGAGTTCTGGGCGGGGCTTATGGGTTACGAGGGATCACACGCTTACCTCACCAGCAGCTGAAAATTGGTAGCTATTGGTCAACAGTGGGAGGGGCCTATGCAACATGATCGGTTGGAGGGACTACCTAACAACAACGACAAGTGATTGGATTATGACGGCTCGCCCACAACACCCGGGGCCAGTGCACAATTTATGACAAAACGTAATGAAGTCACTAAGGTGGCCGTCTAAGACAGGTGTTTTTGCTCAGTGCGATAGGGGTTGTGTGTTCAAATATGGTGGCCGCGGCCGCGTTGGACAGGTACCCGTCTTACACAGTTAAATTATATAGAAAAAACGAAAGGGGGGAAATGGAAAGTGACCGTTTGTACAGGTGGCCGTCTTATAGAGGTGGCCGTCCGGGCAGGTTCGACTGTATATATGTATATAATATATATAATACTGGCCTCTCAATTCTTTAGGAAAATTTTTGCTTTTGATATTATACTACTGGTCAATTCTCAATAATTTTGTTTTCAGGGGTATTTAAGAGCCTTGAAGTTTCAGAACAACCAAAGCATTTTCAAGGCTCTCCACCCACTTGGTTTTGTAATATTGGAGATAGAAATTAAATTTGCATGTCAAGCCTCTAAAATAATCCTTGTTTTTAAAATTACTTTAATTTTCATTGTAATTAGCAGATTTTGACTTAACTACCTATGCAAACAGAAACATACAAAGAAGGAACTGAGGGCAACCGTGCTACAGTGCAAAAAGAAGTAAAGAGACTTTATTAAGGGAAGAACTCCTACCTCAAAAATTGTAAACGTAAAATCCAACAGTGCTCTTCTACTACTACTGTGACTACTGTACTACTTCATGAAATAGTACATCAAAGTAGAGACTGAGAAAATAGAAGTGTTGTAAGGGGTGGGGCAGAAGAACTCGGGCATTGTGATGGGTGATTGATTATGAGAATCCTTTTTTAAAATCTTATTTCTAGCAGTACCAGGTTGTGGTAATACATTTATTATTTAGTAAGGTATAAGAGTCTTTCTTGGCCTTGTTAAGCTGATTTTATTATTCACCTATTCTGGCTACTGCACTTAATGTGCATATCGTTGATGGAATTCACAAACCGGCTACATGCAGAAAGGCAAATTTTAAAGGAGAGACAAAAAACGATTAGTGTTAAAACGCGTAGCGTAATCTTATATGTTTATATATGAGAGGTTAAGTTATAAGTGTTCTGACCCATTACTACTTGATTTGTCTTAAATACAGCAACCGTTTGTTTTAAAAAGCATGTAGCCGGTTATGGAATCACAAGAAATGAACAGCGCTATGCAAGTGGCCGGTTCTCTGCAGGTGGCCGGTTCGCGTAGGACATTTCCCCGCACAGCCGCGACACGAGACGTCATGTAGCCAGTTAGGCACAGCTGCGCGTGTCACTGCTTGCTATAGAGGTGTAGATCTAGATCTACTTGAAGGACGGCAAGCTAGCTTATGATAGTTTAACTGATGTTTCAATCTTATGAGTTGATTGCTTTGAAGTGGGTTCGAATCTCGTCCATGTCGATTCACACCTAAAAATCACACCTCAACAGGCTTCAGCATTACAAGATATCTGCTTTAGGTGGCCTTTTGTAAGAGACAATGAGTGGTTGGATGGGAATTAAATCATACTTACTTCACTTGAAATCCCTCCTGTTGGGCAATACATCAAGTATCTGATCAGTGCCGTTGCTAGCTCTAATTTGTCTTATAAATGATGTTATACCATGTTAAGTGGTGTAACACAGAGCAGCAAAGCCTGTGTTGAATGAACCAGTGCAATGAGGCCATGTGTTTATTTTCACTTGTACTGAATCGGTGGTTGGGTATAAACCTGCTTACCGGGAGGTGTGGGTTCGAATTTTATCACAGGCTGAGTCATATATCAGAAACTTTAAAACTGGCATTCTAGCTTCTGTTTCGCTTGATATTGATATCAAGTGATCAGTGCCTGGAGAAGTCATCGACGTACTGTGACTATGTGACGAGAAAATTAAGCTGTGCTTCCCCCAATATTCAAGTGTGTTAGGGCATCAATCTTTTCACTGTGGTAAACAAAGCCCCAAACCAATCCAAACTAAAGTTGTTGAGAAAAACAGTAGCAGATCTTTTCAGTTTACGGGAACAGTCTAAGAAACCTGCAGTTTTGTTTGAAATCCACTCAGGGCAGAGTTTTGGCAAGATGGCCTGAGGATTTTTATCTGGGATGAGAGGTTATGGGTTCGAATCCCTGACTGTTGAGTGCAAAAAAGGTTTGCAATTGGACCACTTTGCATCATTATGTCTGGTGTCCTATTGAGAGATTGTGGAAAACGGTGTCATTTGATTGTGTCTAGTGGGGTTAAAAACTTCTTCTTGTACACATGTATTTAACATTCATGATCACTCACACTCAAGTAAAGAAGGGCACACGGAAACAAACAACCAAACACTTTGTGACAGGAGAAAGTAGGACTGATAATCAGAAACAGTGAAGTGGGGGGTGAAGAAGTTGTGTACATTTGTTAACATGTAATGTGATATAATGTATAGATCTATATACATGTAGCACGAATTGTGCGGGTATTTCTCTTTATTTATTTAATGAGTCAGACGTGCTCAATGAAGAGAGTTTCTCTCAAGCAACAAGTAGCATCTTGTGGAATCAAATAAACTTAAGTAGCATTGTACACATTGAGCTGTGCGTCAATTTAATACTACAAACCAACCGAAACTAAAGAGAAAGAATAAAGAAATGGGTAATAGAAGTGTGGCAACTAACTGAAAGTAATCAGCTCTTACAATGACATAGTTCGTAATCTGTTAAATTACCTTAAAAGATTTCCTCCTCAATCAGAATGAAAGTAAGGCGTTTGAATTTGAAAGATCTCCCCTAAATAAGTAATGCATTTATTTAACAAGGCTCCTGGGCTTTGTCTTGATCAGCATCGTTGGGGGTTACTAAGTCAACAGTCTGTCGTAAAATGCATGATAGTCAACTGGCATCACCTCTTTCAGCATTTCGAGATGTTGGTATTTCTCCTTTTTTATTTTCCTGGAGCAACTGTAGAGGGGTCCATCAGCTCCCCATTTGGTTGGTTCCGACCCCTTGGAAGGATCTGGTAGGGCTCATCTCCATGGCTCAGTTTGTAGGATATATTTTGACCAGGAGTGTACAGGATACACCTCAGGTCCACCACTGAAGGGTCTCCGACCTTTCTGCCTGGACGGATGGAATCCAGGTTGGAAA